CGTGTGTGTGTGTGTAAAACATTTTATATGTAAACATTTTATATGGTATAAATATGTATATATATGTAAACACTATATACATATATATATGTATGTATATTTACGTAAACAAATATATGTGTCTATCGATGTATATCCACCGGTATATCACACCTCCTTACAGTTCTGCTTACATGTGCATATTATGATCGATTTGCACACCTGACCTGAGCGAATCAAATAATGCGATGTAGCGCTCGGCATTTGCGTAGTGCAGTGGTATGTGATAGTCTCTCTGTCTCTACGTCTCTGTCTCTCATTCTCATAGTAGCTTGTGGTGGCGTCGTGTTGATAGTACTATTCGTCATATCACTTTGGAACAGTGTGCATATGCCTGTGCCGTGTGCACGTGTCCATATACTTTACAAACACACACACACACACACCGCTATCGATCTTTAAACCCAAACTCTCACCCTAGAACCCTAAACCCAAACTCTTACCCTAGAACCCTAAACCCACTACCTCGACACATTCCAGCCAATTCGCTGTCGCGGACGTTGGAGTACACATTGGGCAAAGCCAAACAACTCAAGCGCAGAGCAGCGAGCAATGACTCACCTGACGTTGTGAGTGACGACACAGCCGATATCCTATTCATGCCTGGGCCACTCAGCGACTATGAACGTCTGCTGTGTTGGCCGTCGATCACCGGCTTCTCATTCAGTGGGAAGGGAGGTAGTCCCTTTGCCCTGCACCTAGAATTTAAAAAAAGGTGCAGATCTGTCCGAGTCTGTCTGTTCGGAGCTGAGGTGTGTCATCCATCAGTTGATTGATTAAAATAATATCATCCATGCATTTATTCATTAGTTCAGTAATCCACTCTACATTAATGCATTCATTCATTCATAACTAAGTTCGTTCTTTTCTTTATTCCTTTATCCCTTCATCACTTCATCCATTAACTCATCCATCTATTTATAACTTAGTTTGTTCTTTCCTTTATTCCTTTATCCCTTCATCACTTCATTCATTAACATATCCATTCATTCATAACTTAGTTCGGTCATCCATTCATTTATAACTTAGTTCGTTCTTTCCTTTACTTCTTCATCCCTTCATCACTTCATTCATCAACTCATACATTCATTCATACCTTCGTTTGTTCTTTCCTTTATTCCTTTATCTATTCATTACTTCATCCATTAGCTCATCCATTCATTCATATCTTAGTTCGTTCTTTCCCTATTCTTTTATCTCTTCATCACTTCATCCATTAGCTCATCCATCCACTCATATCCTAGTTCGTTCTTTCCTTTATTCCTTTATCCATTCATCACTTCATCCATTGACTCATCCATCCATTCATAACTTAGTTTGTTCATCCATTCATT